CATAATAAATTATTATTTAATCATATGGTTTCTACACTTATTGGAACTCTGTAACGCATAATTCGGTGAAAGGTGTTGTTGTATGCAACACAGTGTAAATACTTATGCCTCAGATTACAGAACTAAAGGTCTGTAATCTGAGACTTCTGCAGATAGCGTTTCCATTTATAGTAATTTACATTTGTTGAAATTATACTTCTTTAGGCGCGTTATGAAAAAATGTTGTCGCTTTAGCGACCAACTTCATGCTGTTACTTTTGTGTTTACCGCATATTAACCCTAGATTCATAAACATTCGTCTCACAGACCGCAAAAATCACGTAAACGCTTATAACTTTTAGAGTGAAAGAGATAGAAAGTTCAACTCCTTAGTACCTTCCTGGTTCATTAATGAATTAGTTTTGCGCCAGTCACACGCCAGGGCGCACATGTGTAAAAAGAGTTATAATAATTAGATAGTCCGACAGACGAATGTTTATAGTGTTACTATTGTAGATCAGCCCCCCTAGCATGAGTAACAAAACGCGATATGATAAAGCGATTTATCGACATTAACTGTCAAACTACAATGGAGTTTGACAGTTGAGTGTCGATAAATCGCTCTATCATATCGCGTTTTGTTAGTCATGCTAGGGTGGCTGGTGTGTTTATTTGAAGCCGTGATATATTCGAGAACTGGAGTATATTTCAAGGTAAATATTTATTATTATTATTAGTTTATAAAAATGAAATGAGATATTTGCCTATTTTATCTATACTAATATTATAAACAGGTAAATTTTGTGAGGTTGTAGGGGGTAATAATGCCAACTTTGAAGCGATGCCTAAAAAGGAAAATTGCAGAAGTACTTGGCGAAACTTTGTCCACTGCTCAACCACAACCCAGTGGATCACAGAAAAATAATTGTGCTTTCTGCAATTATAAAAAACGTCGAATGACAAAGTTCTTTTGTACGGATCACCGAGGAATGTTATGTGTTGATTGCACAGAATAATTTTTTTTCATCATTTCTGTTTCATTTTACTATTAATTAATAAACAACTTTTAAAATTCAAATGTATTTTATTGAATTATTTTATTCTAGAGATCTAATATCATCGAAATAATATATACGTCTGAGAGGCGAATGTTTATGAATAGTGTATCTCCCAAGTATGTTTATGAATCTAGGGTTAAGAAAATCTACCCACAAAATAGAAATAGAATCTCTATTTAGTGGGTACTAACGACTGCATTGTGAAGGCCTATCAAAAGTATTTATTAATCTGGAACAACGGAACCAAAACGCGATTCAGGAGACTACAGCGCCATCTCTTGACCTTTGGTGTAGTAGAACCAAAAACTACATCTTTATTTTTTGTAATAAAGTAACAGTTATAGGTATTCATATTTATAATATCAAAATTATTTATTAATCTGGAACAACGGAACCAAAGCGCGATTCAGGAGACTACAGCGCCATCTCTTGACCATTGGTGTAGTAGAACCAAAAACCACATCTTTATTTTTTGTAATAAAGTAACAGTTATAGGTATTCATATTTATAATATTTATCCACATGTTTCTAGTTTGTATATTCGGAATACGTGTTTGAGTTTCATACAAGTGCAAATCACATATATTATGTTCTAATAAATTATATTCAGTAGCGATTTTAATTGCATATTTTGATTATTTATTTATTTTTTCAAATTAAAACTGAACTTTATTGACTGTGTCCTTTTCCAGACTTTTTATTAATTTATTGTTATTAATTATTTGCATGCAATTAAAAACTAATTTTAAACGATGCCAAAGAAGGATAACTTCTCACGCGCCTACATAGGTACACGCACCCATTTTTTAATAAAGACTTTTATATTTACATAGGTAAATAATAGCCCAAGCAGGTATAGTTTCAGGTTTGTTTCCTTGTCATTTAGAAAATGCCTTTTTGTAATGTTTTGGAGTCTCTGTGTTTTGGGTAATGTCTCATTTTGAAATCATAAGTTCTATTTCCGTTAGGTAAGCACTACTTTTTTCCATGTCATTGTTAAAACAATAGTTACTAAAATCAATCATCGTACTGTTGTCAAGGGGAGGAGGGTGGGGATGTCATGAGCCCCCTGAATCCTTTGTTTGTTTAATATTTCATAAGTTCTATTTCTGTTAGGTAAGCACTACTTTTTTCCATGTCATTGTTAAAACAATAGTTACTAAAATCAATCATCATACTGTTGTCAGGGGGAGGGAGTTGGGGATGTCATGACCTCCCTGAATCCTTTGTAGCTTAGATTTAAGTATTTAAATAGCTTTCAATGAATAGAATTCATTAATATGACTAACCTTACATAACTCAACTTTTGGTTATTAACCTATCGATATTTATACTATCCCGTAGAATAACTCTTTAATTTTAACATATATGAAATCTGTATGAATCTATCAACAAAACTGGCTAAAAATTATTGTTGTAACGGTTAGGCCCAAGGTCCTATGGAAGTTCGCCAAACTCCTTTCATTTTCTCAATATCTTGTCCTTATGAACTATTTAACTTTTTTGTGTTTGTTTTATTACGGCTCAAAATCATTAATTTAATAAATATAAAGTAATATAGGTAACCACATTCATTGACTTTTGGACGGTACGAAATTCGCCAAAGAAAAGATAGAGAGGGATATTATAATTAAATGTTTTAAACGTGATTTTTTTACCGGAAGCCGCAAATATAATGATGGATAATATATTAAATTAACTTAATATAGTTTGACTGATTAATTTAATATAAGACTCATCTCATCAAGTGCCCCGTATATTTGTAGACCAGACTTTTCTGCGTCCCTGCATGTGGGAAAGATAGATGTTTTGTATATTAGTTGTTTTTTTTTGTAATGACAACATTTGGTTTCAAATGACAACATGTTCTGCCGTGCCAATCAATGCAACAAGCCAACATTGACAACTTTTCCCGTGCAGGCTCTGCAACACTGGCTGTGATTGCCAATCAGTGTTGCCAACACGGAGTTTTTAGAGCTAGATTTAGCTTTAAATCAGTTTGGTTAGCTTTAAAAAAGTAGGTCTAGGTCTTTAGCTCTACTTTTCTACAATTTTAGCTTTTTTCCATTTACACTATGAATAAATCCTTTTGTATTATTTTTACCTCAAGATACTTGTTTCCATAGTCAAAATATACCTACATTGTTTATGGTCTTTCTATAGTTATTATATGATGGTACCTTAGAGTATATAAATGCTCTAAGGATGGTACCCACTGCAAATGCGAGGTTAATTTTAAAAAATGTGATTTATTTAATCATATTAAAAGAAAGAAACACCTTAAAGTGGCGCAACCATTTACAGCGGGATAATCAAAATTAAGGTTTTCTCCAAAACCAAAGATTGATTCTGGGACAAATTCCGCTGAAGGATAATTGGCCCTTTTGATAAGCGCTCATACTATAATATTACCTGTCAATCGCCTTGGTGTACTGTAATAAATAATTCAAAGATGACAAAAACTTAAAATCACAGATAACAAAATGTAGTGTTACCATAAAGAATGTTCAAAGTCCGCATTTTATAACCGAATTAAAAAGAGATATAGGCGATGGACCATTCAGTTTGCTATTAGATGAGACTGATATCAATATTACTAAACTGCTCGGATAGAGTCTGTGCGGAAAGAGAATGGGATTTAGTTTGGAGGGCGCTGTAGTGCTTTTCTACCATATTTGTAAGGTTTTACCCCTTTTAGACATGATTAAATGCAAAAAACCGCAAGGAATCACAACAACAAGTGAATCCGTATCATTACAAAACTTTGACGTTTTAAAGATCGCTAGGTTTGATTGCCAAATAAAAATCTTAATGTGAGTTCCGTTTTTCGCCACGCCCATTCTCTTTCCGCTCAGACTCTAGTAGTGCAGTATTACAGCAAAAAAAGATTCGAAATAGTTTCCACCTTAGCCAAAATAAATAAAAGTGATCCCGAATCCATTACAAACGTTGTTCATATTGATTTTTAATAAATGGTACATAAAAATAATTTAGCTCTTTTTTCTACAGAAATCTAGCTCTTTTTTAGCTTTATTTAGATATGATCTAGCTCCTTTTAAAAATCCGAGTTGGCAACACTGTTGCCAATAAATTTAGTTAGCTAAGGGTTTTTGGCGGGATTTCATCGAGTGCGGTTGGCGTCTTATTTTAATTATTCTTAAATTCGTTCATAGTGGATATTGTGAAATAAAATTGGTGTGGTTTTGTGTAACAACTGTCTGCGTAACTGAAGAAATAGTGGAATCATTAAAATATACGCTATTCCGGTCAAGTGGACGTGAGAATTTTACTGAAGTGTTGACTACCTCACAGAAGCTTATCGAAAAAGCCAACTCGATACATTTCGTGCCAAACACTCCAAGAAACATTAGAATGCGTCACACCGACATTCTAATGTAAAAACAAAAAAAAAAAAACAAAAAGAAGATAAATTTAATTAAAGACCAGGCTGTATGGGCATTGTTCCCCTTGCCTTCCCTAAAACGGGAGAACTTCAACAAAAAAAAAAATTTAGCTAAAGGACAAAGTACCCATCCAAGGCCAGACAGAATAAATAAAAAAAAACACACGCACGAGTTTTTGGCGGGATTTCATCGAGTGCGGTTGGCGTCTTATTTTAATTATTCTTAAATTTGTTCATAGTGGATATTGTGAAATAAAATTGGTGTGATTTTGTGTTACAACCATCTGCGCAACTGAAGAATTAATGGAATCTCTAAAATATACGCTATTCCGGTCAAGTGGACGTGAGAATTTTATTGTAGTATTGACTACCTCACAGAAGCTTATCGAGAAAGCGAGCTCGATACATTTCGTGCCAAACACTTCAAGAAACATTAGAATGCGTCACACCGACATTCTAATGTAAAAAGAAAAACAGAATAATTTAACTTAAGACTAGGCTGTATGGGCATTGTTCCCCTTGCCTTCCCTGAAAAGGGAGAACTTACCAAAAAAAAATAAAAAAAAACGGAAAAGTCATGAAATGAAAACAGCTGCAAGCTTAAATAAAATACTTTTCTAATTTCTTGTAATAAGCATTAATTTACTATGAATTCAGGAAATTGGTTTCTGATCAAAAGCTTGTGTGATTTATCTTTTCGACAGTGTAGAGGGTAATTTTTTTTATAACCTCCACACTTAGCGTGAGTTGTTTTTATTATGAACAATAGTTTTATTTTAACAGATGGCGGATACCGCCACGTCGGCTTTATGCGAACGCTACAAGTTTTCCAGATTATTTTAAAAATCCGATATTTAGGAAAGAACAGCAAGGAAAACTAATTGAGAGCGGCGAATTATCAAAACTTGCAGCTGTACCTGTAAAACCCCCCGCCACATACGAGACTTGCTCGGTGTATCATGACCCTCTTGTAAAGTAAGGAATTTTACTGAATTGTAAAAGTTAAAGTGAATAATATATTTTGAATTTACTAATTATATCTTCTATTGTAGTAAAGTAATTAACCATGTTATGGAAATGGGCAAGAAGCAGTTAGCTCGCAGTCTAGTTGAAAAATCTTTTGAAAATATAAAAAGGACACAGATTGAACGCTATCATCTAGCTCCAACTCCAGAAGAAAAAAATAAAATTGAACTGAATCCAAAAATAATTTTGCATAAAGCAGTTGAAAACTGTAAACCATTATTGCAACTTTCTCCTATTAAGAGGGGTGGTATCACATACCAGGTAATGTTGTTGATTTTAACCTGTCTATATATTATACATCTTGTTTAACGCTAACATTATTGCATTTTAAAATGGCACAATTAGTCCCCGCCCCAACTTCCCTTGGCAACAGCCACCAAGAGTGCACTAAAGTAGTCTCTCACTCTCATTCATAAAGCAGATTACATCTTGCTCTTTAGCCTTCTCGTATCAACAGTGTCAGCGGCTGTCAAAATGAGTAATCACTGAATATTTTTACATTAATTTCTTTAAAACTGTACTTACAAATGAAATAACATGCTTTTTTTGTCTCCGATAGTTCCCGTGTATTTTCTGCATTATCTTAAAAACACAGGGCTTTTTGTCATAAAATACATAAAAAATTTACATGTTGTAGCAAAGTGTATCCACTGCGACAGGGCATACCCAACTGAATGCAAGTCGGACAATTACCTGACTTGTATTGCCAAATTAGAAGCATGTTTGATGTATCTATAACTTTAAAATATCATAGATTTCAAATATTAATTAAGTTACTATATGAATAACAACAATGCATATAAATAAACAATCTTCTGCTTTCTTTTTATACAATATAAGAATTGGAGCTATGTGACGCATATTTTCTAAGGCGCAAAACATCACGTCGGATGTTCCTAATGTGATACTGATCATAGAAAATAGAACCTTTTGATTTGACCTAACACACATGGTGTGGCATAGGGTGGCATTGCATTTCATAAGTCTGTTTTGGCCATTAATCAATCGGTTTAAATGTAAGATTGTATAATGTTCATATGTAAGATATTATAAGTTGAAGGGAGGAGTCCTAAATCTCCTAAATAATATTAAAACCTAAATTATTGCAAAACTGTTTTAAAAAACAGAAACTGTTTCAGAAAACTGAAGATTCAAAATTGCAAATGTGTGAAGTCAAATCAAAATCTAGGAGTGACCAAGTGTTTTCCTTTTTCTGAAATGTGACAAGCTTTGACAATGCCATGAAGGTGTTAAAATTGCGTGATTTGTGTAATATAATTTTATGAAACTGTAGCATAATATATTATTTAAAAGTTTTCATAGTAGAGAGTACAATTATTGTTGACTAAATATACTTTTATCTATTACTAGCTGAGCCAGCGAAAATAGGGGTTGGTTGGTAGAAGGGTGAAAATTTAGGATTGTATGTATTTTTGTATGATGTATCTTAAAAAAACGAGTGAGTTTAACATTTGAAAACTCACCTTATATTAGTAAAAAAATAAATAAAACCTACTACAAAAGGAAGAAGCTATTTGAATATTATGTTCTTTAGAACATAATCTTCGCGCGCTTTCGCGACTTCCTTTTACACACTTCCGGGACAGAATTCACGAAATAACTTGCACAAAAAAAAACAAAAAAAATTGTCATAAAAACAAAAGAAAATTAATGGTGGACCACCCTTAACATTGAGGGGGATGAAAAATAGATGTTGTCCGATTCTCAGACCTACTGAATATGCATAATTTTATATGCACGAAAATCGGTCAAGCCGTTTCAGAGTAGTTCAATTACGCACACTGTGACATGAGAATTTTATATATTAGGTATTGAAATCTACAAAGACCAATGTACAAATACTCTAGAAACATTATATGCATATCTAATATTATATATTTTGTAGTTCTATTGTGTCTTTGTCTCAGTCACAACTCAAATAACTATAAAACTATTTACTTGTATATGGCAGTCTGTATGTTTCAGAATCTAGGTTTCTGAGGTCTGGATTCACTGTACCTATTCGGTATTATTTATTTTACATTGTGGATTAAGGCCAGTATAAATAGATCAGTGTTGCAACATATACCTTTTTTTTGACCCGGAGAAATCCGTTACGCATACCCCGCCGCTGGGTATGTGGGACTCCTCCCCCAACCTCCCGCTCACTCACTCAGTCAACCTTGGGGCTGACTCAGCGGCTGCTCGGGAGGGCCTACCCACTAAAACTCCGGGATGTGCCCTCTTTGCCAGCGGTGGTGGCGTGGGATCCTTACTTGGTTGATTCCCACCAAGCCGTCGCCGGCGTCACATCTACCTACTTTTAGGTAGATCTACCTATTTTGCCTCCGTTCTACCTATCTACCAACCTCAGCCTCGAATCTAGCTATTTTAAAAATTTGACGATCTTAGGCAATTCTCAACGCGTGTAAGGAAACGTAACTCACTTTCACACTTTGTGCGTCTGTTGCACTCAGGGCTGCGTTCCAAATCTACGCACCAGGTCCAACAAATGTCAAATATAACAAAAAGTTCTAACATTTTATAACAAAATTGAAACGTCAATGAGAAAAGTTCAATCCGGATCGTAGGTTTAGAACGCAGCCCAGCCCGACTGACACTGAAAATATTATTTTGGGGGCAGACAGGGCGTATTTTTTCAGATTAATATTAAAATCTAGCGCCTGGGCCACTTACGATTGTCACCCCCCTTCCCTAGAATTAGTAAATCTCAAAGAAATTCCCGGAACGAATGCCTTCTATGAACATACCTAAGTTCCCCAAAACCAAACTAGATTTATGACCTATGCTTAGTTCATCTGTGATGGACGGCCACAAATAATTTTTATCACTAGTTTACGCATTTGTAATCATTTAAAACGTACCGACCCTGGTAGTAGGTAGATCTATCTATTTTTCATTTCAAATTCTACCAATTTCTACCAATTTTAGCATCCTGTTCTACCATTTTTCCAAAATTGTATGTGATAACACTGAAATAGATCGCTCTCAACTCAGAGAGCAAATTTGAGATGCTGTTTTTTATGAATTTCAAGATCTTAGCCTCAGAGTTGAGAGCGATCTAATAATACAGGCATTCAACAGCAGCACTAATAAATAAGATTTTAACATTGGAAATGTTTTTTCGATCGTGTAGTAGGGGGGCATTTTCAGCGATAGTGAAATTCTGCTCTAGTGTCGTCAATTCTAAAGCTACGTAAACGATTAGGGTATGCATATTAGTAAGATCTACAATATGATGTAAAAAAATTTTGAAAAAATCGAAATCTTTTTGAAAAAAATCCAAAAATGTCGAAAAATGACGCGATTTTTTCAGGTTATTTTGACTTGAGTCGGCGATTACTCGGAGACTATTATAGATAGTCTTAATTCAAAATACGTTCCTAGGGGATTAATTAGGGTATAATTTGCAAAAAACAATTAAATTATCTTATAAAGTTTAAGTTCTTGTAGCGCCCTTTCGGTGGCGATCTTATTTAGCGCGCAGACCGATGAGTCATGACGGGCACTCCTATGAGTTGTATTGAAGATTAGTAACTTTTTATGTGTTAATGAGGGATTTTTTTAGTTGTGAGGATTATATTTAGGTGTTATTGAAGATATTTTTTTTAAGGAAAATAAATAATCTTGTTTATATCTGTTGCGATGAAGGTCACGCGACGATTTCCACATCTGTGTTCTGTAAACGAGCCGCTCGATCAGCCAGGGCCATGCATACTGCCGGACGACTTAGACGTGCTAAAGCGCGCCGCAGTGTGCAGTAGCTTTGAGAATACGGCTACCGGATATCTCCCGAGGCGATTGTGTCTCGTGTTAGGTACGCTCTACATGGTGACGCAAAACTTGGACACGGCTGATCGCATTGTTAATGGCGCTATCGGTATATTAAGACATATTGAGACGACGGTGAAGAATGGCGAGGAGTATGTTTCTCGAGTGTGGTTGCTGTTCGATGATCCGGCGTGCGGTGCGACGATACGTCTAAAATATCAACAACACATGGTCGAGCACAGAATCAATCGTAGATATACGCCGTTTGTGAGGCGCGAGTTGCCGATCAACATGAAATCGCGAATAATCAAGGTTGAGCGGCGACAGTTTCCGTTGTTGCCGAGTAACGCGCAAACTATTCATAAGGTGCAAGGAGCCTCATTCAATAGGGTGGTATACGAATATGACAGAAGTCACGAACTTGCGCTGGTGTATGTCGCTCTGTCTCGGGCTCGCAGTCTACAAGGGTTGTTTCTTACCAACTGTAAGAAGGATCATCGGTTTCGACACTATATGAGAGACAATTGCCGAGTCGATTTGCAGAACGAATTCAAACGTTTGGGGACTAAACAAGTGATGACCATCTATGATCGATGTAACAGTTTTGTCAGTGACGCTACTAAGAATAGCGAAGTCTCTATAGCTTCGTTCAATGTGCAGAGTGTTTGCGCGCACAGTAATGATATTTCGGCGGATGATGTTAGCAAGAACGCTTCTCTCTTGGCACTATCGGAAACGTGGATGCACAGCACGAGCGGAATAGGGTGCGGAGATACAAGAAATGACTGCGAATCATATAAACTATATCAACAGGAGCAGTATGCACGAGACGGAGTTAATTTCAATCACCAATACGAAACGTGTTTGCTGTTGGACCATACCTATGGAGCGTCCGATGACGGGGCCATACCTATAGAGGGGTTCCGTTGCGTGACAAGATCGAGACGCGATTCCAATAAGATCGGTGGAGGCGGTGTGGCGATATACGAGTCATTGAAATCTAACTTTACGGCGTGCCATCATGTTTACGTGAACACAGTAAAAGCGCCATACGGGGATGTGCATTGCGCTTTCATGAAATATAAAGATAAATACGGACAAGAACAGATGATTTCCTTGATCGCATTCTATTGCCAGTCAAATATCACCGGCCAGAAGCTGATGGATCTCGTCGACGAATCTATGTGGCGTTTCACACGGGGCGCTATGGCGTTACAGTCGTGTAGACGCGGTGATCTATATTGGTGTCCGTTGATCGTGTGCGGGGACTTCAACTATAACTTTGCTGGAGATTCTCAGGCCAGCGTCGTGCTTCAGTATTTGAAGAACACTCACGGATAGACCAGGGTCGATAATTTTAAAAATGGTGAAATGTGAAAAAAAATTTATAGTAGGATGAAACCCATTAGAAAAGGTAGAGAATATAACAAAAATGAAAGGAAAAATAAATTACGGGCGATCTGAGGTCGGGAAGGGGGAGGGGGTGAGTTTTTAAGGGTAAAAAATGGTTAATCTCGATTTCCGGTAAAACTGCAAGTCCTATGAAAAAAAGTTAAATGGCAAAGTTGTAGGTAATAAAAAGATCTACAACTTTTGTATCGACACTTTTTTCACATAACCTCAAAATTTATGTGAAAAATGCGAATAACCGAGTTTTTGGTTTTTGATTTTTATTTTTTGCAAAAAAAAATATTTTTTCACGAAATTTGGTGAAAACTTACCTTTGTATGTCCCAAACATACAGTAATTTTTTTGATTTAAAATATTCATTTTTTCACCTTATTTTGACTTAATATCCAAAAAGCACCCTAATTTTCAATCGAAAATTCTCACGTCAAAATATCTGCTTTTTTAAAAAGTTGGGGTGTTTTTTGTTTGTTGAAATCTCTACTTTCTGATGGTATAAAAAAAATATACACTACTATGATAAATGTTCTCAGAAAATGCAAATTAATAATGAAAAAAACTCGAATCCGAAAATCTTATTTTTAATACCTACTTACAACAACTATTTTTGCATGTTTTATGGATTTGTAATTTTTCTGTTTATCAATACAACATGAAATCTTACGTTTTTCGAGTAATTAAAGTGTAAATTTTAATAAATAGTTCAAAATTATACATAATGATTCAAATCAATTTTTCGGATTGGAGTTTTTTTCATTATTAATTTGCAGTTTCTGAGAACATTTATCATAGTAGTATATATTTTTTTTATACCATCAGAAAGAAGAGATTTCAACAAACAAAAAACACCCCAACTTTTTTAAAAAAACAGATATTTTGACGTGAGAATTTTCGATTGAAAATAAGGGTGCTTTTTCGATATTAAGTCAAAATAAGGTGAAAAAATGAATATTTTAAATCAAAAAAATTACTGTATGTTTGGGACATGCAAAGGTTAGTTTTCACCAAATTTCGTGAAAAAATATTAGAAAAAATATATTGCAAAAAATAAAAATCAAAAACCAAAAACTCAGTTATTCGCATTTTTCACATAAATTTTGAGGTTATGTGAAAAAAGTGTCGATACAAAAGTTGTAGATCTTTTTATTACCTACAACTTTGCCATTTAACTTTTTTTCATAGGACTTGCAGTTTTACCGGAAATCGAGATTAACCATTTTTTACCCTTAAAAACTCACCCCCTCCCCCTTCCCGACCTCAGATCGCCCGTAATTTATTTTTCCTTTCATTTTTATTATATTCTCTACCTTTTCTAATGGGTTTCATCCTACTATAATTATTTTTGGTCTCAAAAATTATCGACCCTGGTCTAGGACTAGAATACATGAATAGAAATATGGGGCCTACTAATCGAAGCGGTTCATCTATCTATGCAGTATTCATGAAGCGATCTCTGCTCGAGCTCATGTACTATACTATTTCCTTCAGTACGCACAGAGCGATGTTAATAGCGACCAAATGCGACAGGAAGCGTAAAAAAAAACAACAGAATCGGCCCGGCATTGAGAACGCATTGCCTTTGGCATCACCCGTTGCAGAGTAAGCTAAGAAATACATGCGAATTATGACATGTTTCAATACTGACCCAAAATAAGGACGACGTCTGTTGTGCAGATGTGCGCGCGCAGGGTAATAAATATCGTGCGGCGGCCTGCGGGAGCCTGAGGTGGGAACGGAAAACGGTCTCGGGAGGATCTATTGTATAGACGTTAGGCGTCACGCGCGTGCCACAGTACGTCCTGGATCGCCGAGCTTGAAACTTGTTCACATTAACTTAAAATATTTTTATTAACATTTAATTTGCGTGTGTGTATCCGTTGATAATAAATATGGATAGTGCGAGCGATAAGAAATCAACGAAACAAATCGGAGCTACCGCAGTCAAGGGGAAGATGGCCAAAGCGCGATCAGGTTCTTCGAAAACTACATCTGTAAAATTGATCGGTGAATCGGCGACACTGGATTCAATATTGCCCATAGCGGTAGATGACGACTTTCCAGCCTTTAAGAAGACTAAACTTTGTAATCGTAACGCGGTTTCGTCAGATTCATCCGATGAAGATCAAGTCTTGTCAAGTGGATCGGCGACGAGTGTGTATACAGTGAAGCCGATGAGTGGAATGTTCAAGGATGCTGAAGCTTTGACTGCATTCATTGAGGACTTTGTTTCAAGCAGTAATGATAAGCGTCCGGATTTGCCTCCTATTTTGAGAAGCGTCAGTCGAAACTTAGCAAGGTTCCCCTTCGGCGAGTACATTACACACGGTTTAATTACAAGACCCCAATACGATTGGCTGTTCAGCGCGATTCGCAGACGCGTTCAGCGAAAGACAAAAGATCTACGACATTAGCCATCTCGAACCGAAGCCTAAAGTATAAAGTATCCATGTTGCTGCCGTCCGTGGAGTACTGGTGGCACGACAATAGTAAATTGCTGATGAAAGAATTCGTCGATTCGAAACTGGTGAACGATTTGAAACGAGTCATGCCCATGGAACCGTTTGCCGAAACAATGAATAAATTTCAATTGGAAATGCACAATGTTGGTTCAATTTTCGCGATAAACTATTGTCGGCGATGAAGGATACTCCTGAAGGAAAAGTTCCGGAGGTGTTCAATGTGAAGGTGCCAAACACACAGACTACTCCTAGTAGGATACACGTGGAACTGATGGAGTTCAAAAATCCCCCGATAGGAATCAATGTGATCCTGTCAAATGGAAAAAGCTTATAATCGAATCATAGTTGTTTATACATGCGTTTGCGATAATATCGATATCAGGCTTCAAAATAACGCGTACGGGATTATCTCTGGATTCTGAGATCAAATTCATGGCTTATATGAATATCCCGAAAAAATTACAAAGACCCGAGGCTGAAATGAAGAATAAGATGCAGAAGAAATTCGCCTTCGATTTCAAGTGGATTGGTGGCGGTGGTGGCGGCGGTGATTCATCTTCGAGTGAGGACGAAGCTGGTGTGAATAATTCTTATGATAAATCGGATCTCGATAAATACTTTGTGCGTTAAGTGCGTTATTATTTAGTTTGACTATACGGTGTATTAATATCAGTTGTAACATTAATATTAATAATTTTATGTTCTTCGAATATAATGAAATAAAATAAAAGCTATTTTTAAATAATAGGCGTTGGTTTTATTGTCAGAAGTCGTCTTTGTGTTAAGATACGACGGTAGGGACTAGCTAGAATAGTGTTCTGTGAAACTAAATTTAGACGGACAGAGGGGTGATTTAACATTTTTGGTTTGTCTATATTCATTTCCAATGTCTTCGAAGGTCGTGAGAGGCACGAGATCTGTGATTTTTTTACAATGTAGACATAGTCTGTGTGTACACTATTAACTGAGTTATTAATTATACCCTTTACAGGTGCCTGGACCTATAACTGAGAAAAGATCTTTATTTTTGGCTATAAAATGGTTATTAGATGCTACAAATGATAAAGACAGGACTGTCCATTTTCCAGAACAGTTTGCGTGGGAGCTGCTAGATGCTGCAAATAATACTGGAAAAGTAGTGAAACGCAAACAAGATTTACATCGCCAGTGTGAAGCAAATAGAGCATATGCTCATTATCGGTGGCAGTAGTTCCCACATGAAACTGAAATTTAATAATTAATAGAGTCATGTATAATGTACATGGCTGTATATAATAGGAAGAATTTTATTAAATAATAATAAAAAATAGGTTTTGAAGCAGGAATGTGTTCATTATTTTAAGATTCTTTAGTATTAATTACTGTGTGATGCACATACATAGGCCTCCTCTAGGCATTTTCATTTCCACACAATGCTTTTCGCGTGCACTGCCTGTGGTACAGTTGGGATAGTCCGGTTGACTGGACATTTTTTTTACATAGTACAGTTAACCGGAATATAGTAAAATAGATCCCTTCCTGGTTCAGTTCACTGTACCCCTTAGATTAAAACAAAAAGGGAACAAGAGGTTGACATTGAAGCAACTTGACAAGTAAGCCAATTTGTGTAAAAAAAAACCTAAGCAGTTGAAAATTCTAAAGTAGAACTTTTTATTAGCCGCAGTAAAATGACGTTTTGTGGGTTACCGCTTTTTGAAGAAAAATAAATAGGGATGTAGCTAAGTGAGTAAGTGAATCATTCAATAAATGAATGATCAGTAAGTCGTTATGATATTTTATTCTATTATTATTACTATAGTAAAGGATTGATCTTTTTCATTGGAAGTATAGGGACGTACATCCAAAATTAAACAAAAAGTCATAACAATGTTATTTATTAATCAAATATTTTCGGAATCACTATCGCTGTCGCTTGCGGTCACACTAATGACAAATCTGTCTGATTTCATCAATAATATGATCGAGGTGGCACATTTTGTCTTCCTCTTTTATAGTGTTAGACACACAGTCACTCCACTTAACCGGTGTCACTTTGTTTATTCCTTCTTGGAATAAAGTTTTCACTTCTTGCATTTTATATGTTTTATTATTGTTTGCGACGTGCCTCTTTACCTGAACCCAAACCAACTCAATGGGGGTTCAATTCACAGTGATAAGGGGGCAGTCTTAAAAGTCTAATACCTTTTTATGCAGCAATCTCGTCCACGGCATATTTCTCAGTATGATTTTGTTGTTTCACAATATCTATGAGAGTGGCCTTCACTATATTTGGTTCAAATGTAATATTTTTAGTGGTCAGCCACTCTTGAATCTAATTGGTTAAAAATCTACATGGGGTGGGAGAAAACATATTATACCTAACGTATAATAAAAACATTAATGATGACAGGTAAAATAACCTTTGCGATGGTGAGTACTTCATTTATATGAAAGAACTGATGTACAATTCGTCTAATAGCGGTAAATGTGAAATCATCAAGTTTTTCTTTAAATATAAGTTTTAGGTTTTTCGGGAGGTTTTGGTGATTTACAGTCGTTCTCCTTGTGCTCTTTTAAATCAAAATAAACAGTGCGAACGGATATTCCGAAGACTTCAGCCACCTTGTTGACGCATTCACTTGTTTTTGGAACTTCAATATTTGATTCTGTAGATTTCATTTCAAACACATATTTGTTAACGTTTCTGACCCAAAGTTTCTCGGTTGTACTTAGAGCTACACGTGGCCTGTTTTTTCTTAGGAGATAGAAATGTATCTCCTTCTTGTGATATGCTCAACTGAGCATCCATGTCTTCGATGTAACAAACAAAAAAAAAGCTGACACGATTAAGAAAAAGTAGGTAACGAAAAACAAACAAAGTAACAAAAAATTAACAATAATGATAACTAAAACAACTCGCAGTGGGCAAAGCAAAGTTATTCGTGCATTCAAAACAGAAGTTAGAAGCCGAATGAGCAAATGACAAATGAAATAAAATGGCGGACAAGCCTCATCGTAGCATCGTAACTAAAAACCAGTACCAACTTGAGATTTATACAGCCTTTTATTTATATGAATAATAAATAGAATTAAGTATGATCATTATGAGTTAGTTAAGGAACGATTAGATTATCTGTGAACCTAATCACAAATTAGGCGGTCAACATTATTTTACGGAATGACATTTTGAAACGTCATTTTACTGCAGCTAATAAAAAGTCGAAGTATGGCTACTTCACTGAGCATATGATGTTTAGAACAACATTTAGGTTGCTTTCCAATTACAGAGCAATGCGACTCAGTGCCGCACAATGCCGAATTATGCTGATGCTTAATTGGAACGTGAATTAGTTTTCAAATGCACCAGCAGAGTGCGCAAGTTTAGTGTTGAAAAAAAAAGTCAATGATTGTACCTTCATCCATATTTATATTTAATTTTTAACACAGTTTGAATTAACTTTGATTATTTAAAAAAAAACTATGATGAAACGAAAGTTTTAATAATTTTTCAACAAGAAATAATATTACTAACGATAACATTTAAATAAAACATTTCGATCAATGCCAACTTAAAGAAAAAACACTTGTTAATTTTCTGTCTCTGAGTTGGTACGATTGCACGCATCACACGAAAGCATTACTTTTGAGAGTGCTCAATTGTGCGAAGCGTTGCTGTAGTTGGAACACTCAACGTTAAGTATTATGCCGCATAATGCGCTATAATGCTGTAATTGGAAAGCTACCTTAAGCACTTAAATTTATGACGAAAATCGATTTATAATGCGGATCAACTAACAATAGGACCGACTGGGCGCCACATTTTGACGTCATAGCTGTCAATTCAAACCAAATAGAGTGAGCAAAAAAATTGAGAAACAACACAAACGATTTTTAATAGTATTTCTTTATTAAGACTGTGTAAAAAAACATTAATCAGAATCTAGCTCTTCAATTTCGCTCATCTTTGTATTACCGCCGGAGAAGTTATAAATAATCATGCGACCACATACGAACATGCATCCTATATGTAAACGAAAGTTTTAAATCGAGTTTGTAAACGCAACATAAAGTGACATTTGGTTGACGATTTAGGTTATCAACCATTCATAGCCAATACTCAATAAGTGAAAAAAAAAACAAATAATATTAATTATCAACATTTGTTATTGTTTGTTTAAAAATGTTTGGTTTTTATTCTAGAATCAGCTGAGTGCTAAAAAAGTGTTTCGAGATTTTTTTGCAAACCGCACTTTTCAAGCGACATTTGACAGATGGAGGTTATTGGCTTTCCTATTCTTATTTGAATCGCATTAAACGCGCTACTGACATGCCTGCCGCAGGGACAATCTAGGGTGCACGGCGGTCAGTCCAATATCGGCTTGTCTCTACACACATGCCTGCTATTCAGTGTTCGGGCGTATGTTGAGCTAAACACACGCGTTGATGATGGTCCCAGTGTTATCAAAAAATATGTTACCGTAAAAAAGGAAATACTGGGTGAAGAATTGGCAACAGAAAGAAATGTATTGTAAATAAGTAATGTTAATGATTAGAAAAAAATCCACGCGGACCTGGCAGCAGACGGGACTCGAACCCACACCCAACGCTACCGCGGCCCTGACAGCCATATCGAATTCTTTCTAGCCTTAAGCTGCAAGGCAGCGCCATCTCTTCGCATTATATATAACCCACAATGTCAAATGAATAAATACCTTTACAAGTATTAAACATTTAAAAGAAGAAATAGCAATTAAAGTCATAAATTAATTTTTTAAACATGTAACTGCTGAATGTTTGAATCTAAAGAAAATATTATAAAAAAACTATTCCTATTTTTCTAGTAATACTTTATTTATATTTAAACATCGAGCAGTCACATACTTAAAAAATAAAAATTAATTGAAAGAATATATAAATAATGTTTGGTCTTTTTATCCCACATTTATGTGGGGCCGGTCTTTATATACTTCGATCACTCGTGTCCAAACCTCATGCTCATTATGATCTGCCGCCATTTTGATCGAAATACGTGCGCTGCGTGTGTGCTGTCACAACAGCTACTAACCGACTGATTGAGACATTGGCCCAATCGCGCTACACACGCGGCAAAGTGCAGGGACAATCTAGTGAGCAAGGGTGGTCGCGCGCTCCTGCCGCCCTGCCGCAGGCCCGATTTAGAAAATTATCCCAATTTGCCTACACACATCACAATTCAGGAGGCAATTTAGGGTCATCCCCACTCTCACACCCGAGATTGTCCCTGCGGCAGGCAAGTCAGTAGGCGCTTTTATACCAGATATGATCGTAAAATTTTACTTGCACTCTATCACGAATTTTTAGTGATGGACTATTCACTAAAACGAACGTCCTGAACTGGCTGCCTCTGCCCGTCGTGTGCTTTGTGAACGCGGCGAGGGCAGCCGCAGACATCGACGGGCTGTTAATGTTAAAAATAAACGACATATAAATTAAGTTTCTGAACATACTTGTATTTTCAGTAGTCCTAATTATAATCTGCACTGTGGCAACATTTTTTTTTTTTTAACAAAAACCTTCTTGTTAAGTTCATGGCCGACCGACATTGTGTGCTCAATAAACCTGTTTATTATAGAAGACAAATCTCGTTACTTTATCACCCTCACACTTCCACGACAATCACCATCAGGTTATGGGCCCAGGCCCTGGATGTGAGGTGTGTTTATATAGGTACGAGAACAGAAGATTACCTACAGATTGAACAAAATCCCACGCTAACCGTTTTACAGACGCCATACTTACATACATCAAACGAAAATGGAACGCGATAGAGTATTATTACTCAACAAACAGAATTGGAGCACATGGAGCTTTCAAATAAAGGTAATATTAAAAGCCAAAGACCTATGGGAAGTTGTAACAGACAGAGATTTTAAAACAAAGTCGGACTTCAATGTCAAGGACAGCAAGGCACAAGAAATACTTGTAACAAGAGTCGAAGAGAGTGTCATGTCTTATTTGTTATCATGTTCAACAGCATATGATATGTGGGAAAAACTCAACACAATTTTTGAGGCTAAGACAAAGGTAGGTGTTCACCTTTTACAAAGAAAATTTTATAATTTACAGTATTCAGAACCTATGTCAGATTATATAGTACTTGTTGAGGATTTAGTTAACAAATTGAAAGCTTCAAATGAGATTATATCAGAGAAGATGCTTATAACAAAGATATTAGTAACTTTGCCAGAGGATTACCAGCATTTTATATCGGCATGGGAGAGTGTACCAGAAACAGAACAGACATTCAAAAGTCTAACAGCTAGATTATTAGTCGAAGAGGAACGTATAAAAAACAGAGGACAGGAA